TTTTGTATTTATCTAGCCCTCAGATCTTGGACAGGTTAATTACTTTAAATATTAGTTTCCTCATCTATAAAATAAGGATAAATAACATAGGGCTGTTGTCAGATCTAATTAGACAATGTATTTATGTTGTCTCACAAATGGTAAATCGATAAATTGTATATAGAAGTAGTAAGACTAGTAATAGTAGTACTAATAGTGGTAGCAAGAGTAGTTTTGGGTTCCTAGCAGGGAGAAAAGAGTTCTCCTACGAATAAGTGTACATAACTCTGATAAATAATGGTAACCAGTAAGCATCATTTAATGATATAAAAACATAACTTTCATGGAGAATTATTGGGTAATTGTTTTTATGTTTTGTGTTATATTCATGATATCAAAATCTAGATGAGGCATAAGAGTACGGGCCAATTTCATGTGTATCAAGTAAGTTATAATATAAGAGCATGAAGGTCTCCATAAATCTAAAACAGCTTTTATTTCTAAGGAGCAAGATTCAAAAAGAAGGTTTGAATTCTGGCTATGCCAGTTACAATCTGCTTGATTTGGGAAAAATTAATGTTTCTGGGCTTCATTTTCCACATTTGTAAAATAGGGAGAGTACTAGAATCTACTTGGTAGAAATGGAATAAAAAATAGAACAGGCAATAATTGAGATATGTGTAGTGCATAACTGTACAAAGTAAGCATTTCTAAAGCTGCTAGGTAGTATTGTTCAAAGGAGTGAACCTTGCTTTCTAAGACAAAAGACAAAGACATTTCTATGGAATAAAAGGTCTTTGATCTGAAACCAATTAAGTTCTTGTTCTCATATTTGGAAGCAGCTTTCATTGTATTCCATATACTTCATACCTAAGGTTCTTTGCCATAATCTAGAGAGACAAAGAGCCTTGGAAGTAAATCCAAGAACTAGTAAATCTGACTTTAAAATGGACCTTTTTTTCCCCCAGAAAAATAGGAAAATCATCCTAAAGCATCAGTAAATAAGAAAAATAAAAACATGCCTGGCTGGCATGGATCAGTGCTTGAGCATCAACCTATGATCCAGGAGGTCAGGGTTCAATTTCTAGTCAGGACATATGCTGCCTGGGTGTGGGCTTGATCCCAGTGTGGGTCATGCAGGAGGCAGCCAATCAATGATTCTCTCTCATCATTGATGTTTCTGGCTTTCTCTCCCTCTCTCCCTGAAATCAATCTACATATATAAAAGCCTAGCAACTGAATGACCAGTTGACCAGTCGCTATGATGCTTTCTGACCACCAGGGGACAGATGCTCAATGCAAGAGCTAGGCCCTGGTAGTCAGTGCACTCCCACAGTGGGAGCGCCACTCAGCTGACCTATGGGCGCCAGACGCAGGGCTCATAGCTGGTGAGCACTGCTGTGGCAGCGCAAGCCTCTCTCAGTTGGGAATGACTGGGTGCGAGCCTGCAACAGGCACAGCGGGGCTGGGATGAGTGGGAGCAGCAGGCAGGAGCAGCAGGCAGCATTAGACTGTTGGTTTCAGCCCCATCCCTGCAGGCCATGCCGAGGGTCCCCACTGATGCACAAATCTGTGCACCGGGCCTCTAGTAAAAATATATTTTTTTTAAAGAAAGAAAAATCAAAACAAAAAAATCAAACAAAAGCTGTCAATGAGAAAGCTAGGAAATCAAAGCTATGAGGCAATGGCAGGCTGAAGCAGAGGCCCCTTCGTTGTCCCATTTCCATCCCACCACTCTCCCCAAATCACTGTACATGTACTTGTTAGATAGACATCCAGAAAAAAGAGTATATTCTCAGTCTTCCCTGCACTTAAGCGTGGCCATCTGACTAGGAGGTATCATATAGCAGCAAAGAGGGAGCCTTTTTCAGAGAGCATGGCACAACATCTCCTTCATCTCTCCCTCTGCCCTCTGACTGGAATGAAGACGCTGGTTGGTTCCATGGGAATCAGTGCATATCCAGGGCCAGCACAGTGTGTGGCTGTGCTGATTCACGGTTGTACAACCCACTGGTGAGGGGAGGCACTGAAAACTGGGCAGATGCCATCTAGATCCTGAGCAATGGGAAGGACACAGCCCTGGCCCTGGACAGATGACATCTAGGTTTACTTTGAGAGAAAATACAACATTTTATGATTAAACTGCCCTTCACATGGGTTTTGTTTTATATGCAGCAAACCTTATTCCACATATACAACTAGAAATGTCTACTCATCTCATTTTGCATTTGTACTGAAATGTAGCAAGAAATGTAGAAGGAAAGTAGCTCTGGAACTGGGAACATGATCATTGTGTATGTTTCTCTCCCAAATGCATATTGACTCAGAAGGAAACTGGACTAGCCACAATGCAGTTGTGATGAGGGTGGTAGGTTATGGGTGTTTCTCTCTTTCTTTGGGGGGTGAGGGGTCAGTATGAAATACATTAGCCATAAAAGGAATGAATAAAACATAACAAAATTTTCATTTTCCTTTATACTTTCCTGAACTTCCCAAAAGTTGTTAATGAGCATATAATACTTGCAAAACAACAAAAAATATCAACTTAAAAGCATAAATAAAGGTGCAAAGATAAAAGCAAAATATGTCTAGACTCTAGAACAGCGTGGGCAAACTACGGCCCGCGGGCCGGATCCGGCCCGTTTGAAATGAATAAAACTATTGAAAAAAAAGACCGTACCCTTTTATGTAATGATGTTTACTTTGAATTTATATTAGTTCACACAAACACTCCATCCATGCTTTTGTTCCGGCCCTCCGGTCCAGTTAAAGAACCCACTGTGGCCCTCTAGTCAAAAAGTTTGCCCACCCCTGCTCTAGAACATCATCTTAAGAATCAATATGTTTGTCCATGGAAAACATTCTCTCTTAGGCACCCTCTGCAGAACCTTACAAGTAGGCACATCCTTGCCTTTAACTCACGGGGCTTCTGGAGTTGTTTGTCCTGCCAAATCCCCACCTCACATCTCTAATGGTCTGACCCAGGCTTAGGCCTGAGGTACCTTTAAATATAGTTTTTCCGTGATATTGTTCTTTTGGTGGAAGTGATAGCTCCTTCCCTAAGTCTGTACAGCATTTCCTGCAGCGTGTGACATATCTCTTTTTGCACTGTACTATTGCTGTTAGGAAACATTTCATATTTCCAAGAACAGTACAAAGTTCTCTGGATCAGGTAGCTCTTCTTTATCTCTATACTTTGCTATTCATTCATTTGTTCATTCATGTGATATGCCAGGTATCTCACAAGATACAAGGAGATATGAGGAAAAAGGGGGAAAGTGAACCATGGATAAGAGGAGCTGGAGTAGAAAACAGGTAAATTGAATGCAATATGATAATTTCTAGGGGAGAGAAATGTATACAACGATAAGGTGACAGAATACTTAATTCTATTTGAAGGAAGTCAGGGAGCCCCTCATGGAAGTACTGATTCTTAAATCAATTTTTTTACAAGGACTAATAGACATGTTCCAGGGACATAAGAACATGGAAATTGTGGGCAGGAAAGGGCAAAGAAAAGTACATGGGGCACGTATTAGTGAAAAAATATTGTAGAAAGGAAAGTTCAGTTTTGTGTGCTTAAAAGTACAGAGTGTGAAAGGAAGTTTGAGAGAGAACAGAAGCCTTGAATGTCACATTTCCCCTGTGCTTTAAATATAGTATTGATTTAACTAATGTTTGTTGACTCTTACTGTCATATGTACTCTGCAACAGGCATTGAGTCCTATACTGGTTGACCAGATCATACCTTATAGATATTTTGGGGACAGCAATACTATCAATATCACAGTATAATCTGTGTGTGTGTGTGTGTGTGTGTGCGCGCAATTGCAGGACGTGACATTTGGTCCTGTCTAAATGTCCACACCTAAGAAAACATCTCTGGGTCAGAAAGCTCCTAACATTTATTTATACTTTTAGTTTACAGGATTAGTATATAAAAATACTATCATTTTACTGATGTAGTAATTGTGTTATGGCCGCACTATGAATAATAACCCTCTTTTTCTCAGTAGCCTAGCTGGTAATGGTGCAAGGGGTGAGGTAGATAGGTCGGTGTGGACCAAATGTCTCCATGGATGCTTTGGACAAGGCCAAATATCAAGGCCCTTTTGGCATAGACCATATGTCTCTGAGACATCGTAGGGCCAAATATCCACTAATCAAATGAAAATAAAATGTATAATGCATTGCAATGCACTGCCTCAATTTTCTCCTTTCCTCGAACAAGGAGCCTGAACTTATGTTTTAAGTAATTATAGTGTATGACATGTAAAGAAGAATAATGTTATGTTGGTACATGTCCAGACCACTGCTGCTCTCAGAGCCTATATTTAATAAATAAAACTGTCTGGATTCAGTAATGCAGTAAATATGGTCACTCCAATGATATAGCCTCACCCTATTTAAGAAAGAAGTTGCAAAAAGTAAGTTTCCTCAGTATAAAATTACTTATTCCACTACTCAATTTGAAATAAGTCATATATTAAATGTCAATTAAATAGAATTATCCTAAATAAGAAGGGAGGGAAAGTTATAGGCTCAACTGAGCATAACATTTAACACTATAAATGAATACTTATTTACCATAGTATAGTATACTATTTTCTTTCCTCAAAAATACAAATAAATATTAATAGATTATATTGTGAGATATATTCACAAAAATAAAGGGGTTAGGTTATAAACATATTTCTAAAATGCTTTTGAAAACTTTAAAGCACTAAAGTAGTATTCCTGGTTTCATACGGACATAGCCTAAGACATTAAATCATTGTGTTCAAAAAAGAAGAAAATTATATTTCAAATGGTAACTACCACTACTTTTTTAATTTCATGAATTTCTAGCTTTTTATATTCAAGCAGTTTTTTCTAAGTACCAAGTAGTTGTAATATGATTTTCTTTATATTTTAATATGAAGAGGTGCTATTGTGTTTTCTGAAATTTTGTTCTGATGTGTTGCATTCTAAGTAAACTCTACTGATCAGAGTCTAAAGAAGGAAAGAAGTTCATTTCATACCTTCAATAGGTTTTGGTACAAAATGTGACGAGGGCTTGGTTTTCTTCACTCTGTTCCCCTTCATAATTTGACCTTCTTTATTGAGTCCCAGAAACCATGCTCGGCCTGATTCTTGCTGACGGTACAGTGTGGAAGAATAGATCACGTAGTAGTTTTCAAACACAGATTCCTTAAATTTGCATTCTGGAGTGAAAACATCCTGCAGGGGAAAAAAAGATACAAAAGAGAGAAAGGATTTTAAAATGAATCAGCAACTGCTGAAATACAGTGAACCTGAAATATAGGTCTGCTGTTAAGAACAAGTGAGACGGAATTGCACATAATTTTTATTTGTCCTTGGTTATAAATATTCATCAAGTATAATAAAAAACACACACAAGATTTTTTTTTTGTAAACAGCCTTTACCCTTCAGAACACAACAGCTTATGCTAGTCACTAGTTGGGCTAATATTAAGACTATTCCCATGTCCAAATTCTGATCCCATTATGTTTTATAAATTTAAAAGACTGGCCATTATACATTTTAGTGTCTGTAAGCATGAAAAATGTATCCCTGAGAATCAAAATCAAACAAAACAACAGCACACACAGGCTCACTGGATGTTTTTGAAGGGTCTATCCTAGAGTACAAAAACCTATTGCACAGCCAAGGCTTGTTCCACTAAATCACCACTATATTACTTCTTTGCTTAATCTCAGTAACTTCCCCTCTAATTTCTTGGAAACATTTTGTTTGGCTTTGTTTTTGCTTTTAACTTAGTAATCAAATTCTCAGGTAAAATACTCCCAGGAATAAGTATAGAAAAAAAAATATTACTATTACATTGTCTGATCTTCAATGAAACAGAATGAGATTTTAGTTCAAAAAGGAACCTGGTGGTGAACACACAATACAATACAGAGATGATGAATTATAGAATTGCACATCTGAAACCTATATAATTTTTTTACCCAATAAAACACATGTGTAAGCTCTTTCATGCCTATAAAACCCCATACAATTATTTGACATTTCTTTTGCAGAGAATACTTTGACATCATAACTTCAAAAATTTCTACATTTTAGAGTGACACCTACTTGGAATACATTTCTTTTAATCCTCACCTGAGGATATTTTTTTTCCATTGATTTCTAGAAATAGTGAAAGGGAAGTAGGAAGGTGAGAGAGAGAGAGAAACATCGACATGAGAGGGACACGTCGATTGGTTGCCTCCCACAAGCTCCACTACCGGGGCAGGGGAACCTGAAACTAAGCTATGTGCCTTTGACTGCGAATTGAACCTATGTCCCTTTGGGCCACAGGCCAACACTTTAACCAGTGAACCAAACTGGCCAGGACTGAAATACATTTTTGATAAGTAAAGAATGTTATGCGATTCACTCACAACCACTTTTGCTCCTCCTAGCTTTACCTGCAAAATGTATGTTTTCCAACTCAAGTAGAAATACATGACTTGTCTAATCCTGTGCAGGATTCAATTTAATTAAATTGTTCCATAATTATGATTTATTTTTATCTCATTCTTTGCAGATCCCCATTTCCTCCTTACAGCTCTGGCTGTAATAATCCATAGGATGAACGTGAAATGAATGAATAAACACTCATTGCACTGCAACAATGGTCTCCTTTCTGCTTCTCAAAAACAACAAGCATAACACATTTCAAGTCCTTCACAACTGAAAACCTCTCTTGAAGTGAGAAATCAAGCTGTGCTAATATGTGCCCTGACTGGGAATCGAACCGTGACCTCCTGGTTCACAGGTGGACACTTAACCACTGTGCAACGCAGGCCGAGCTCAACATTTCTTGGCATTAAATAAAATCTACTTCAACAAAATAATTTGGTGAAAAAACATCATGTGGTCAGGATTTTTATTCTTGCATATCTCTAATTTGTGTTCAAATTGGGTCGACCATTTTCCTTCCTAGATTCCCAGTTCCCCTAAATGTTACAGAGAAGTGTTTGTGGAACTAGGCAATAACAAATGTCACTTTTGACTTGTCTTTTACACCTTATCATTCATATAAAATAAATATTGCCCAGCTGGGGTGGGTCAGTGGTTGAGCATCGAACCAGGAGGTCACAGATTGGATTCCCAGTCAGTATACATGTCCAGGTTGTGGACTCAATCCTCAGTAGGGGGCGTGCAGGAGGCAACCAATAGATGATATTTTTCTCTCATCAATGTTTTTCTCTCTCTCTTCTTCTTCTCTCTAATAAATAAATAAATTTAAAATAATAATTTTGACATTAAAGGGCCAATATAAAAATATTATTTGACAATTAGTGCTTACATACAAAAAATAGTGATAACATATTATTAAGAAAACAAAATGAAAAACAAAAATATAATCAGAGAAAACAACTTTACTATTATGGAAGTAATTATGAATAATGATTTTCTCTACAATGTGTGAAAATTACTGATTTTTCAAACATATGCTAGATACAAAGGATCCTCTCATTTTGTTCTCTTTCCTTTACAAAAAAACAAACAAAATGTAAGGTCTTTTCAAAAGCATCTTTCCTGTTTTCTGTACAAACTTGTTTATTTTGTAGTGATAGAAAAAAAGATAAATAAAACATTTGACAATCCTTAAACACAATTTATGTCCAACAATGCCAGAGATAGATAGTTCCTTTGATTATATGACCTTTGCATATTTGGCTGTGAAGCTTCTGGTTTGCTAACTTCATTAATGGAGTTAATTTCAGATGCACAGAACTTGAAAATCTTTGGTATATTAGCAATTGGGTTGTCAAGTGTATCGTCAAACACAATGACACTAAATCAAGTAAGAGAATTATTGTTTTCCATCCTGACAAGAGCCAAAGAAAATGCTAAAATATATTATCTCAAATGAAGCATGTTTAAAAAATACAGAACAAATCTAATTTTATAACTTTAAAAATACTCTGCAGATATAGAAATATTTATCTATATCCTTTTTAGATAACTTTGACTGGAAAACTGCTGAGCTAATTTGTCTAACAATAAAGGTTCTTCATTAACATATTCTTTGCAGTATTTTACAAGCAACAAAGTAAATTTTTATCATCAAGAAATAATGAAAACTGTGGTATATAGGAAACATAAATGTGAAGAGAGATAGACACATATATTCAAACCCCCTGATTTTATAACTTGGACAAGTTATTTAATTTCTTTGAAGGTTGTATCATCATCTGTAAGTTGAGACTAATGATACCATCACTACAAAACTGTGATTATTAAACAAGATAATAAAGGCATGTCTTACATGGTATGTGGCATATTACTTTCTTTACTGCTAGGTACAATTTTCAGGTGATATTTGATATGAGAAAAAGTTATCCTGAGAAAAGTTACTTTATGTGTGTACTCCAAATACTGTATCCCAAGTTTCTCTTCCCTATAAAAGGCTAATCAATGCTACTCTGCTTTATGTTAATTTGATCATTTGCATATAGAACACACAAATAAGTCTGACCATTTCTCTTTATCTGGTAGAAGATGTTTTGACATAGCTTTAACAAAGACAATGAAGACTTTGAAATTGCTAAGGAATTTGCTTCACCTCAGTCATCAATTCAAATGGAGGCCGTAGCCAAAAAAAAATCAAGAAAAGGCTGAGACTCAGAAGGACAGCCATGAATGAATTAGGAAAAATCACCAAGAGCAAAGACGCGTCATAAAAGATTAAGGCTAAGATCTCCCACATCCTAGGATTCCAAATTACTATGTACAGATGTAATAGTTGGACAGTGAATAAGATTAATAGGAAAAAAATGATTCATTTAACTGTTGTATAGGAGGAGAGCTCTACTAATACCCTGGACTCTCAAAAAGACAATCAAGCAAGCCCTTGAGCAAATTATGCCTGAAACATCACTGGAGGCAAATATGACAAAACTAATAATTCTGTCTTACTTTGGGCACACCATGAGAAGTCAAGGTTCTTTGGAAAAGATAATGCTGGGGAAATAGAAGGCAGCAAGAATAGAGGAAGACAAAATATGAGATGGATTTATCCTATAAAGGAAGGCATGGGCATGAGTTTACAGAAGCTGAGCAGGGAATTGTGGACATCACTCATTCATAGGGTTGCTAGGAGTTGGAGCAAACTCAATGGCACGAACACACAAATGTTTTTGACATGAATCTGAGATAAGTGATGTGTTTTCAGGTTCTTAACCCCTTCTAATAAGTCACACAGCCATTTGACTTAGCCTCTAGCCAGAAGTCTGCAAGTATAGAAGTGGGGTGGGAGTGGGAAGTGGGAGGCCAGTAGGTGAAGGGATATAACATATTACAATTCACTGTTATCATCAAAGTTACTTCCTGGAGTCCAAATGTTCTGGAGACAGAGAGCAGTTATTGGGGGAACAGTGCAATTCTCCATTAAAAACATCATTGGTTCTTCTGAAGTGAGCATGCACACAGTATGTTACCAAATGCCCCACTATGACTGAGTTTGCAAACCAAGGCAATTACACTGAATACCCCACATACATTCAGGGAAAAGGCTGTGTGCCTCTCGTGCCTCGGTGTCTGTCTTCCCTTCTGGGGATAAAAATGGAAGTGGGGGATGTTTTCAGATTCCCATATTTCAATTTAAACATTGCAATACCTTTTGGGAAATCATTTTGAATACTCTAAAGGACCCCAGAAATGATCAACTAAGGCTAGAAATGTGTTTTTTACATGGAATATCCCTATTTTTAAAACTCCCTGTGTCAACATCCTGGAAGTCAGAAAAACTAGTATCATACATAACTTCCTGATGGAAACTATGGTAAAACTGTACAAATACATGAGGCAATGGTTTCCTGGCACTTGTCAACTAGAATTGCAGGGTTTTCATCTTTGAGAGAAAGAACATATGAAGTAAGCCCCACATTAACTCTGGCTTTCTGTAAAGGGCTCCTTTTAACCCTGGAATGGAAGGGTGAAGCAGAAGTATATATACCACTTCTGTTTTTGAGATTTGGGATGACAAAGAGCCTTGAATTTGCAGACCAAGGTTTCAGAGAAAAGGAACCTAGTGGAATGGGGTAAAGACTCAATGAGAATTCCCTAAGGACCCTGGGTCTATCCATAGACTCAACATGCTCAAGATGAGATTCCTCAAAGCCTAGTGCGGAATAGCTACTGCAGGACTGAGGGCTGAATGAAGATACCAGAAGTTGTGCAAGGCTTGGATTTGTTAAACTTG